CATTATCACTGCTTTTGCAGAGGTGCTCAGAATATAACAGTTAAGAAGCATATACGTACAGAGATACATAACATATCCCTCCAAACTGCCAATATCCCAAACCCCTCCTTTAAAGTGCAGGCATTGTACTTCCCATTTCCTGGAGTTATTGTGTGAATTTACCTGAGGCATTTGACAAGTGTGGGGATGTAGCTTTTAAGCAGGATGATGCACCGTGTCATACTGCCAAATCTGTAGTTCAGTGGCTTAAAGACTGTGAAGTGAGGTTCTTTAATGACTGGCCAGGCAATTCCTCATACCTAAACCTTATTGAGAACCTCTGGTCAATAGTGAAACGAAGTTTACAGGGCAAGGATATCAGTTCCATCCTGTGGCTGGACTCAAGAAATCGTAATGACACGATTGCAAACAAACCATACCCCCGGCCGGGATTGAACCCGCGGTCATAGAGTCTCAAAACTCCAGCCTGTCGCGTTAGCCACTAGACCAGCTAGCCACAATAAGATTCATCCAACTACGTATATTTCTACACCATAGGAAGGTTAGCACAAGCACCACTGTGACCACAAATGCAATTTGAAACCACTGTGACCACAAATGCAATTTGTGGTCACAGTGGTGCCTGTGCTAACCTTCCTATGGTGTAGAAATATAACTAGTTGGATGAATCTTATTGTGGCTAGCTGGTCTAGTGGCTAACGCGACGGGCTGGAGTTTTGAGACTCTATGACCGCGGGTTCAATCCCGGCCGGGGGTATGGTTTGTTTGCAATCGTGTCATTACGATTTCTTGAGTCATGTTGACGGCGGTGAAGGGACTTGAGCTAGAGTTCGTCATGGCCATGCTAGCTGGACATTCGTCTGTAAAAACTTGCATTTGTGGTCACAGTGGTGCCTGTGCTAACCTTCCTATGGTGTAGAAATATACCTAGTTGGATGAATCTTATTGTGGCTAGCTGGTCTAGTGGCTAATGCGACGGGCTGGAGTTTTGAGACTCCATGACCGCGGGTTCAATTCCGGCCGGGGGTATGGTTTGTTTGCAATCTTGTCATTACGATTTCTTGAGTCATGTTGACGGCAGTGAAGGGACTTGAGCTAGAGTTCGTCACGGCCACGCTAGCTGGAGATTCGTCTGTAAAAACTTGCATTTGTGGTCACAGTGGTGCCTGTGCTAACCTTCCTATGGTGTAGAAATATACCTAGTTGGATGAATCTTATTGTGGCTAGCTGGTCTAGTGGCTAACGCGACGGGCTGGAGTTTTGAGACTATGACCGCGGGTTCAATCCTGGCCGGGGGTATGGTCTGTGGCTGGAGGTTGCTCTACATGAGGCATGAAATAATATACCTCCACAAACCCTCAAGAATTTGTGTTTGAGTCTTCCTACATGGTTGAGGGACATGAATAAGCATAAAGGATGCAGCACCAAGTATTAAAACCTCAGTAAGTGTGTAAGTATATATATTATAATCTTTCATGGTATGTGTTTGTGCTTTGGTACGTGTGTGGGGGAGGGGCGGCATAATGCCGTGACTAGCACTGTAAGTGGGACTGAACATTAAGTAAAAGAAAATTCCCAAGAGAAAATGGAAGGTGGAAGGGATGGGAGAAGGGAAGTCAAACATTAGCTAAAAGTACCAGGGAAACTTCAAATACTGGTAAAACAGACTTATAACATTTCAGAGTCTGTCATCCCTATGCTGTTTATCAAAACATGAACACAGAATTATTTATATTATGTAATTAATGAAAAAAATATGTAATTTCTAAATAGAATATGATGTCACAAAAAGAAAATCAATTACTGAGCAATGAGTAGAAATTATAATCTTCTAAATTTCCTTTTATTTTTGTTGATAATAAAAACTAAAGCACTTAACACACTGAAAAATATTAAATCACCATAAATAATATTTTATATAAAAAAACAAATGGTAACTTTTAGTTATGCCTAATAGAAAGTTGTTAATGCAAGTTCTGCTTTGACTCAGCAGTGCACATTGTAATCCTCATTGTATCACAAAGATACAAGAAGAATTAATAAACAATAAAGCCATGCAGAGTCTGGTTACCTCCTCAACAAAATACTCTGCACATATATAATACTGATGTTTGAAAACAATCGCTATATGTGGCTGAATCACCTTAAATGTAAAGTGTGTGTGTGACTGAACATAGTAGAGGTCCTGCCTCCAATGGCCCCATTGTAGAATGTATCTGAATTTTTCAGTTATAAATAGATCTTAATGCTTGTGACCTAGTTCCATTAATAAATTTATATAAATTCTCTCTCTCTCTCTCTCTAGGCTGGGAGCAAGTATTTTGAAAATAAGGACATAATTTATAAACATCACATTAAGTATCATGTAGTGGGAGAAATGTCCAAATATGTGCCACAAAACTACAAATAAAAACTTAGTGAATCCTACAAGGTACTGATGTTCCTCTTACAGAAATAATTAACTAAGGTCAATGGATCTACTCTGTTCCACACAAAATTCACACAGAGATAAATTTTAATGTCCAAACTAAGTACAACATTAGGTGGTGAGTACTGTATACTGTACTGTCAAGTATAGCAACATACACAAATAACCCGCACATAAAAGACAGAAGCTTACGACGACGTTTCGGTCCGACTTGGACCATTGACAAAGTCACACTAACAGGGGAGGAGCAGGACGGCTATATATAGGCAGGAAGAGGTGGAGGTAGTAGTAGTGGTAGTAGTAGTAGTAGTAGTAGTAGTACAAGAATTGTATATAATACCGACAGGATGAAATGACACACGCACAACACCCGGGCATCCTCACCGTAGACGTTTCGCCATCCAGCCAGCCACTGGATGGCGAAACGTCCACAACAAAGACAACCAGACGCCGCACATGTGTCTAATTTCATCAGTAGTTGTAGTAGAAGAAGAAGAGGTAGTGGTAGTGGTAGTGGTAGAAGTGGGAAATAAGGAAGACGAGCCAGTCAAATACAAAGGAAGGGGAGCACTGCAAGAGAGCTAGAAACCCACAGAGGGAGAGCAAGCGCACCGAGGTGCGTGAAAGGGGAAGTGGTGAAATAAAATAAAGAAGGAACAGAAACACGAGACAGGAGAGAGAAAGACAACCCAGAGGAGAAAAGGAGAGAGGAAAGGGGAAGAGGAAGAAGAAAAAGAAGAAGAAGAAGAAAAAATGAGGAATCAGGTTAAGTCACGGGTGTTCTGAAGTTTGGAGCATTTTACAATGTAGTGGGAGAGGAAGGCATCTACAGAGACGAAGCCAGGGCTAAGGTTCATACAAGGAAAGTTGTGTATAAGAGAGGATTCAACTAAACGGCGACTGTTCGAGTTGGAAGTAGGGAAGACAGTTTTAGCAGAAGACCAGTCAATAGGATGGCTATGATCTCTGACGTGACAGAAAAGAGCATTGTTAGTGTCGGCAAGCCTAACACTATTTTTGTGCTCCCTAAGTCTCTTCCAACCTTTTCTTGAAGCTCTTAACAATCTTGCCCCTTCCATTAAGTTTAAAGCTGAATGGGAATCTAATTCCTTACTTCCTTTCCTTGATGTCCATGTCCACCGCTCAGATACAGGTTTTTCCTTTTCCGTTTACCGTAAACCTATGCACAGTGGCATGTACATTCACTACTTTTCCTATCATGCTTCCCCTGTCAAGAAAAGTGTTCTTATCTCCCTCTTTCTCCGTGCCCTCCGCATCTGTGATCCTCAGTTCCTTCCAGCAGAAATTTCCACTCTTTATAATTCGTTCTCCCGTCTTGGCTACCCTTCCCATTTCATAGACTCTGCCCTCTCACGTGCTAAACGCAATTTCTTCTCTCCCAAACTCTCTACTCATGGGAACTCTTCTATCCTCTGCCTTCCCTACATTTCCGGTCTTTCTAATCTCAACAATTCTCTCCGTCCCTTAGACATCAAGCTTACCTTCCGCCAGACTAACACTCTTCGCACTAATCTCGTTCATACCTCTCCTCCCTCTACAGATGTTCCTGGTGTCTACTCTATTTCTTGCTCCTCCTGTCCTCTTCAATACTTTGGAGAAACTGGTCGTTCTCTTTCTGACAGACTTAGGGAGCACAAAAATAGTGTTAGGCTTGCCGACACTAACAATGCTCTTTTCTGTCACGTCAGAGATCATAGCCATCCTATTGACTGGTCTTCTGCTAAAACTGTCTTCCCTACTTCCAACTCGAACAGTCGCCGTTTAGTTGAATCCTCTCTTATACACAACTTTCCTTGTATGAACCTTAGCCCTGGCTTTGTCTCTGTAGATGCCTTCCTCTCCCACTACATTGTAAAATGCTCCAAACTTCAGAACACCCGTGACTTAACCTGATTCCTCATTTTTTCTTCTCTTCTTCTTCTTTTTCTCTTCCTCTTCCCCTTTCCTCTCTCCTTTTCTCCTCTGGGTTGTCTTTCTCTCTCCTGTCTCGTGTTTCTGTTCCTTCTTTATTTTATTTCACCACTTCCCCTTTCACGCACCTCGGTGCGCTTGCTCTCCCTCTGTGGGTTTCTAGCTCTCTTGCAGTGCTCCCTTTCCTTTGTATTTGACTGGCTCGTCTTCCTTATTTCCCACTTCTACCACTACCACTACCACTACCTCTTCTTCTTCTACTACAACTACTGATGAAATTAGACACATGTGCGGCGTCTGGTTGTCTTTGTTGTGGACGTTTCGCCATCCAGTGGCTGGCTGGATGGCGAAACGTCTACGGTGAGGATGCCCGGGTGTTGTGCGTGTGTCATTTCATCCTGTCGGTATTATATACAATTCTTGTACTACTACTACTACTACTACTACTACTACCACTACTACTACCTCCACCTCTTCCTGCCTATATATAGCCGTCCTGCTCCTCCCCTGTTAGTGTGACTTTGTCAATGGTCCAAGTCGGACCGAAACGTCGTCGTAAGCTTCTGTCTTTTATGTGCGGGTTATTTGTGTATCGTTCCAGTCACGGTATTGTGCCTTTTTGTTATTTATAGCAACATACCCTGGTAAGTGTAAGGATGAATCCTCTTATTGATGTGAGAATAATGCAGCCCACAAGGAAGAAAGAAATATGTTGGGACCAGAACTGCACATCAATATCAAAGCCCAACCAGTGAACAGCAATCTCCATGCCTTTAGTAACAGGGTCCTTTCTACCCACTCGGTCAAATACAATGTTCACCAGAGACTAAAAACAGAAGAGAATGGATAATATTTAATACATGTTTAAATAACCTAGCCTTAATTTTTTTCATCTCAATGGCTATCTCCCACCAAGGCACTCAATGTACAAAAATCTATACAAGAAATAATCAAAGACGTAAGTTGAAAAATATAATGGGGCTTAATTTATTAGGTATAAATATACATCTCCAATGTAATACTGGGTATAATTCTTCCCTTGTGGGAAATCAGGGCATCAAATAGTAAATATAAGAGACATAAAAATATATAACATGAGAATGGTACAGACATAAATGGAGTACCGGTAATTTAATCTCAAAAAGATTAAAGCTAAAAGAAATGATAAACAAAAAAAAGATGCCAGTAACTACAGTTCTAATAGAAACAAATTTCAAAATGCATATATAGTACAAGGTGGTATTTAAACCAAATTACTGTATGTTAAATCATTATTTAGGAATAGCTAGATTAGGAGTATGAGAAAGATGGAGTACAAGAGTGGTGTCACTGGTTATAAAGAGAAGTCAAAATGAATGAAATAAAGAAGGGGACAGTAAGTGATGGACATAAGTAACTGCTGAAAGAAAGGTAATCTAGAGCAAAAGAAAGAGATGAAAATGTCAAGGAGGTATGGTGTTGATTTAATCCATTCATCACATTATACATCACCCAGATTGGTTACCAATTAGCATAACTTCTCCATGAAAAATTTAACTTTTGTATTATATTTTTAAAAAGAAGAGACTATGATTTCTTTATCAAGCATTTATTTCCCTAACAGCATTATTAGATAAACAATTAAATTTTGATTCTTTTGTGTGTTATTACAGTTGACTATCAGATAACACAGTAGTTATGTTCCTGAAAATGGAGTGTAATAAAAAAAACACGTAAACTGAACTGAAGAACATATGGGAAAAACGGGGTTATATTTATTACACCCCCTAAAAAAAAAAGTTATAGGTTTCTAAATTGAAAAAAAAAAAAAAAAAAAGGAAACAATGTACAGTAGGGCCCCATTTTGCTTTACAGTGTTTTGCTAATATGGACATTTCAAATTATGACCAAAACTCACTACAACTCCCCCCACCTGACTTTCTAATACATGTACTGTCATCACACCTCACCCGGTTTGTTTACATTCTCCGTGAGCTCCATGTCTCTCCATTATGTCTGGAATCTTTTCAAAATTTCAAGTGTTTTAAAGTTATTTCATGTTTTATATATACTCTGATAATTAAACTTATGTGCACCTGTACCTAAGTAAATTTACATACTGTGCTGACGTGCAGGTACACATTAAAATCAATAAGAGTGTCTATGTCTCGAGACACCATATTAATAATGATAATAATAATACTCAATAATAATCACTGAGGCACATTAACCCTTTGACTGTTTCAGGCCCCTCTCTGAAACTGTCATTCTATGTCGCCATACCCCCGGCCGGGATTGAACCCGCGGTCTTAGAGTCTCAAAACTCCAGCGACGGGCTGGAGTTTTGAGATTCTATGACCGCGGGTTCAATCCCGGCCGGGGGTATGGTTTATTTGCAATCGTGTCATTACGATTTCTTAAGTCATTCTATGTCGCCAAATATCTCAAAAAAAAAAAAAATTATTTTTTCTTATGAAAATGTTAAGATTATCTTTCTGAGTGTTTAGTCCAAAAAAAATTTTTGCCATCAGTACTACCGAGTATAGAGTCCGTGAAGTTTCAAAATGAGCAGCGTATTCAACACGGCGACTCGCCCCCCCCCGTAACTTTATTACCTTATTTTTTTTCTTTTCACCTACTTTTATTTCCTCCCATAACTACTGCCTATGAGACCCAACACTTAAGGTGCAATCTATATATACTACACTCGTTTACTACAACTCAATAACACCACAAAAACAAACAAACAAATACAAATCATCACCTCATCCATCCTCATCCTCCTCATCATCCCATCCTCCTCATCCTCACCTCATCCTCCTCCTCCTCCTCCTCCTCCTCCTCCTCCTCCCTCCTCCTCCTCCCTCCTCCTCCCTCCCCTCCTCCCCCCTCCTCCTCCTCCCTCCTCCTCCCCTCCCCCATCCTCCCCCTCCTCTCCTCCTCCTCCCCCTCCTCCTCCTCCCCCTCCCTCCTCCTCCCCCTCCTCCTCCTCCTCCCCCTCCTCCTACCTCCTCCTCCTCCTCCTCTCCCCTCCTCCCTCCTCCTCCTCCCCCTCCTCCTCCTCCTCCTCCTCCCCCCCTCCTCCTCCTCCTCCCCCTCCTCCTCCTCCTCCCCCCTCCTCCTCCCCTCCCCCCTCCCCCCATCCTCCTCCTCCTCCTCCCTCCTCCTCCTCCTCCTCCTCCCTCCTCCTCCTCCCTCCTCCTCCTCCTCCTCCTCCTCCTCCTCTCCCTCCTCCCTCCTCCTCCTCCTCCCTCCCCCTCCTCCCTCCTCCCTCCCCCTCCTCCCTCCTCTCCTCCTCCCCTCCTCCTCCTCCTCCTCCTCCTCCTCCTCCCTCCTCTCCCTCCTCCCTCCCTCCTCCTCCTCCCTCCCTCCTCCTCCTCCTCCTCCCCCTCCTCCTCCTCCTCCTCCCTCCTCTCCTCCTCCTCCTCCTCCTCCCCTCCCCCCTCCTCCTCCCCCTCCTCCTCCTCCCCCTCCTCTCCTCCTCCCTCCTCCTCCTCCTCCCCCTCCTCCTCCCTCCCCTCCTCCCTCCTCCTCCTCCCTCCTCCTCCTCCCCTCCTCCCCTCTCCTCCCCTCCTCCTCTCCCTCCTCCTCCTCCCTCCCTCCTCCTCCTCCTCCCCTCCTCCTCCTCCCTCCCTCCTCCTCCTCCTCTCCCCTCCTCCTCCTCCCTCCTCCTCCTCCTCCCCTTCCCTCCTCCTCCTCTCTCTCCCTCCTCCTCCTCCTCTTCCTCCTCCTCCTCCCTCTCTCCTCCTCCTCCTCTCTTCCTCCCCTCCCTCCTCCTCCTCTCTCCTCCTCCTCCTCCTCCTCCTCCCTCCTCCTCCTCCTCCTCCTCCTCCTCCCTCCCCTCCTCCTCCCCCCTCCTCCTCCCTCCTCCCCTCCCCTCCTCCTCCTCCCTCCTCCTCCTCCTCCCTCCTCCTCCCCCTCCTCCCCCTCCCTCCTCCTCCCCCCTCCCCCCCTCCTTTCCCCCCCTCCCTCCTCCTCCTCCTCCTCCTCCTCCTCCCTCCTCCTCCTCCCTCCCTCCTCCCCCTCCTCCTCCTCCCCTCCTCCCCTCCTCCTCCTCCCCCTCCTCCTCCCCCTCCTCCTCCTCCTCCCTCCTCCTCTCCCACCCTCCTCCTCCTCCTCCCCTCCTCCTCCTCCCTCCCTCCTCCTCCCCCTCCCTCCTCCTCCTCCTCCCTCCTCCTCCTCCCCTCCTCCCCTCCTCTCCTCCCTCCTCCTCCTCCCCCTCCTCCTCCTCCTCCCCCTCCTCCCCCCTCCCTCCTCCCCCCTCCCCCTCCCCTCCTCCCCTCCCTCCTCCTCCTCCTCCTCCTCCTCCTCCTCCTCCCCCCTCCTCCCCCTCCTCCTCCTCCCCCCTCCTCCTCCCTCCTCCTCCTCCTCCTCCTCTCCTCCTCCTCCCTCCTCCTCCTCCTCCTCCTCCTCCCTCCTCCTCCTCCTCCTCTCCTCCTCCTCCTCCTCCTCCTCCTCCTCCTCCTCCTCCCTCCTCCTCCTCCTCCTCCTCCTCCTCGTGTGCGAGTGTGTGGCTTATAATTGTTTTGAGTCAGAAGTCGGCAGCTGTCAAAGTGACATATTGTCTCATTAGTCACTGCCCCTACCGCCTGTCAAAACAATGGGGTCGGATGCTGCTTCCCCTCCTCCATTCTATCAATTTATCTTTCTCCCTCATTCTATATCTTTCAATCTGTCTCTCTTTCTATCTGTCTGCCTATCTTTGTCTCACAGGTACACATAAATACAAGTATACATAGTGTAAATTACCTAGGATAACCCAAGAAATCCAGACAAAGTGCTATACTCTGCTTGAAGATGTGAGTAAACGTGATGACACAGTCTTGTGGCTCTCTCTGAGACAGAGAGCTAGATGGACAGACAGGGAGCTTGACAGACAGACAAATAGACAGACAGACAAATGTTTGTGTACCAGCAAAAACAAAGGGAGGGCGATGGTCATGTAATATTACCCTCCTTTACGCTCATCAAAGTCAGCTCTTATCAGATGTTATCTCCCCTTATCTTGTCACTGTCATGGGTGGACTTTTTTTTTTCTTGCTTCAAGGGAACAATATTATTACATCTTCTTCCTCCTCCTCCTCCTCCTCCTCCTCCTCTTCTCCTCCTCCTCCTCCTCCTCCTCCTCCTCTTCCTTCCCTCCTCCTCCTCCTCCTCTTCCTTCCCTCCTCCTCCTCCTCCTCCTCCTCTTCCTCCACTCCTCCCCCTCCTCCTCCTCCTCCATTGCTTTTGGTCTCAAACTCCTCCAAATCATGAAATTGTTCTTCACTGACACTTCCATCTGTGTTAGAGCATCACTTGGGAAGAGAAGAGTCCCAGATTTGCTGGGGAATCACATATTTCTTACCGCTAGACATGCTGAAAAAGGACAACTGAAATGGCATTCCCACAATGCACCACTGGCTCTGCGATTTTTTTTATATGGTGCACACTGACCATGGAGACCCATTCTCTCACATGTGGGCCTACCAGATTTCTCTTGCTTGATTTGAAGCTGCTAGAATTTATGCGTATAAATACGTCAGAAACATTGGCTCGTAAGACGTATTTATACGTCGGAAACAGTCAAAGGGTTAACCCTTTGACCGTCGCAAGCCCCTTTCTGAAACTGTCATTCTATGTTGCAAAATTTAAAAAAAAAAAAAAAAAAATTCTTATGAAATGATAGATAAACTTTTCCCAATGTTAATGACACCAAAAGTATGAAATTTGGTCGAAAACTCACGGAATTACGCTCTCGCAAAGTCAGCGGTCTCGGCGACATATACGGATCAGTGATTTCACCGACTTTGCACACTGTTTTTGGCCAATTCCGTTGTTCCAGTTGACCAAACTCATAGCTATTTC